CTAAAATCAGTAAAATGGCCCAGAATGCTTAAGAGAATTGGGCAGGCAAAGAGACAAGATATACATTGGGATATAGGGAATCAGGCAGGTGAAAACATCATTTCTTGCACATATCAACTCCAAATCCTTATGGAGGAGGGGACTGTTAATTCTACTCTGTTTGCTCCTATGAACAAGTCTTTCTTGGTAATTAAGACCAAGGAGAGGAATTCTAAGGAAGCTTTAACAGAATACAAGAGCTACAACACAAGAGTTTGTTGTTTTGCTGGGATATGGAATTTGCTATTATTCTATGGTATAATGGAGGGTCAATTGGTGGTATCAATGCTTGTCATTCATTCCAATGATCTAAAATTACATCTAGAATATAGCACAAGTACACTTTTGAATTCAAAAGCATCACAACAACAAAAGCAGAGGAAAATCAACAAGTACTATGAAGATATAAATACATACATCATGCTGACAGGAATACAACTATACATGTGGTGTGACACACTTATAATCTATGGTTTAAGGAGGCTTCAGGTGGTGGTATTAGTACTATGTACTCAACCCACCGGGGTTAACTTAAACCTAGATTATAATAGGGTCACAAACAGGTTCTCAACACAAAATAGAGAATAGAGGATCATATTGCGAAGTAACAAAAAGGAAATCATTAAAAGCAGACATAAAGAACAAACAAGCACAGATTTTGGACCTTTTAGTTACATGTGTGACTGACAGTAAATCTTACTGTATGATCCATACATGTAAAGAAATAACTAAGAAAAAGGAAAGTAATACTTTTCTACATACATGGAAGGGTCTAAATACAAGCTACAAAGGAAGGGAGGGTACAGATTCGAGCAAAGGTTACAGATGCATCTCCTTGGTTGTTCATCAGGGGGGTGTGATAATCCAGGGCGTACCAGAAGGAGTATACTATCAGATAGTCACAGTAGGTGCAGCAGCCAGGCGGAGAAATCGAGAAGTCATAGTAGCAGCAGCTAGGCATACAGACTCAGGCAGATACATGAATATCCAAAGAAGAAATGAAGTTAGTACAGTTGATTGGAGCAACAATGAGGAAGATAGAACACAAAAGAAAGAGAAAGAGAGTCGATGTTACCTAGGTGAGCTTCAGGTGGAGCTGAGGAGTTTGTGGAAGAGATGAAATGATTTGGGGATATTTTGTGGATAGTGGGGATAGTCGGTGTATTAGGAAATGGGGGGGTGTATTGAATACGTTTTACAGGTGTTGGAGGGATATAGCCACGTGTTGGGTGAAGATAAGGGCAACAAAGAGGTTGGTTCTGTATTTTAGTAAGGTGGGAAGGAATTTTGGCTATTTTCGCAATTTCAAGTGGGCGAATGATGGCTTTAAGTGCAAAATGTTAGACATCTGGGCTGGATTAAACAACTGGACAGCTGGGTATATGGGCTGTTTTGGAAAGGTCTCATTATTAGATTGTATAAATAGCCAATACATATAATTTACATATGTGTGGCTATTTGTTCAATTCAGTAATGGGGGTAATTTGGCTGATGGTGCAAGGAGAAGGCTGTTCGTGCAAAGCAGTAACGGTCTGGGCTGCTGGATTGCTGATATTGGACTGGGTTTTTATGCAATGGGCAATTATGAGATCAATGTGGTTACATTTGCAATTTGAGGAGATTGGAGACATTACAGTCATGGCTATTTCTGCAATTCATGCGTTTGGGCTGGAGGTGCAATTTGGAGGCTATCGGCGCAAATTTTGGGCTGGCCGTGTCTCTTTCTTTGTGGAGTGGGCTGCTGTGATTTATTTTCTTGTACTAGTTTTGATGCAATTTTGAGTAGAATTTTGTGATATCAATTTTGAGTATAATGCTCAATTTTGATAATAGGTCTTATGTAGAATTATATTTCCTTTGCGTACATCCGTTAGGATTTCATGACACTGTGCTTGTTTTGTTATATTTATAAATAAAAACTAGCCCTAGGCTCTGCCTAGTGGATTGCTTAAAAAAAAAAACCCTAAACCCAAAACCCCAGTGGATTGCTTAAAAAAAAAAACCCTAAACCCCAAAAACCCCCAAAAAACCCAATTTTCTCTGCCTTCTCTCTAGAAAGCGATTTTAGAGAGAGAAAGCTCGAGGAACGCTGCCATGGCATCGCCGGCCGGTGGCCAGCCACCACCAGTGGCTGGGCTGCCCCCCCACGCTCCCCCTAACATTACCCAACCCCCAGCGACAACAATTAACACGTCCAAACCAATGGATTATGCACAAGCAGTAAAGTCTACGACGACTTCTACTGCCATGAAGGATCGCGCATCAGTGATTGAACCCATACCATTGCGTCGAGCTCAATTCTTTCAAGGTCAGCCAACAATTTGTTTTACTGAAGCTGAAGTTGAGCGTATGAACGTGATTGAAGGACTGCAATATGCAGTCGTGTGCAAATTTTCCTATGGGTGGCCTGAACTTAACGAATTGCAACGCATTATTCCAATTCAATATGGTATTAAAGGTGAGTGTAACATTGGGTACCTACGGGAAAGACATATATTGGTTAGACTCTCCTTATGGCAAGATTTTATTGATTTTTCATCAAAAAGTGTTTATTATGTTAAAGACAAGTATGGCGAGGAATATCAACTAAGGACATTGATTTATGATGCTAAATTTAAAGCGGGGGAAGAAACTCCCAAGGTCATGACTTGGATTTCTTTTCCTAATTTGTTGCCTACCTATTTTGTTAAGGAATGCTTGTTTTCTTTAGCATCAGCAGTTGGAAAGCCATTGCATCTTGATCAAGCTACTTTAAATAAAACTAGGCCTAGTTGTGCTCGAGTGAAGGTTTTGATTGATTTATTAGCTGATTTGCCTAAGAAGGTGCGCATGGACATTGTTAATGAAGATACAGGAGACATTAGGACTGAATGGGTAAACATAAATTATGACTACTTACCTAAGTATTGTAAAGAATGCAAATTGCAAGGTCATGATATGTTTGAATGCTGGAGACTTCACCCAGAACTTATGGCAACAAAAACTGAAGCCAAACAGCATAAGGCAGATGATGCAGTTCCACCAGGAAACAAAAATGATGCACCATTAATGATTTTATCAAGTGGCAAAATAGTGGGAAACCAAGGTGCTCAATGGAAGGAAGTGAAGGATAAAAGAATGCAAGGCAAAGACAAGCAGAATGTTGACACAGGTAATAGTGGCAAAGCTATGGCAACAATTAATGATCAAAAAGGAAATGCATCAGGTGGTATTAAAGAAAACAATGGTCATACTCAGGCAATGGTACCAGCAGAAAAGCAAGACAACCAGGTGCATACTGGTAATAAATTTGCAGTCTTGGAATTGGAGGAAACTAATGATAATGCTAATAATCAACTGGCATTAGTTGAATCTCAAATAGCAGTGCCTATTGCAAAGGAAACTGGAATTCTAAGTCATACAGCAAAAATGATAACACCTAGGTCTCCTGGGAGCACAAAAGGAAATAATGAAGGCATGAAGAACATAAATGTAATGCCTGCTAGTAGTACCAACCCAGCAGGAATTAACAAGCAGAAAATATTAGAAGAAACAAGGAACAAAAACAAAGTGTTCAAAGAGCAGAAGGAAAAGGAGTCTACTGCAACATGGGTACAAAGAGCTTTTAAAATCAATGAGGTTGCTATAAATACCTCAATTCAAGAAGTACCATCCCAGGATACCAGGGTAGAGGCAGGACTGATGAGGCATAATAATGAGGAAAAGATAGTGGATTCTGATTTTGAATTGTTTAAAAGCAATGAAAAAATCAACTGGAGTGGTAGTAAACTATGGGCTAATCAGGCTGAGGAGGATGTAGATGAGGGAATAATTCCAGAAGTGATGCATAGTGATGAGGAGATTGGTGGTGATGTAATGGAGGAAGAAAATCAAAGTGTGAATGGCAAGATTAAGGATATTGGATCCTCTGAGAATCAAAAGAACATCAAGGAACAAGAGGAAAACAAGTTTCAGCATACTGACAATGGGGAACAAAGTAACAAACTCTATATGACAAATGCAGCAGTTACAATTAGTCAGGGTACTGAAGGAGCAAACCAACAAGAAAGATGCAATGCAGCTGTTTTTAAAGTTCATGAAGAGACAGCCAATCAAAATGAGGAACATGATGCAGAGGTGGAGTTAGACAGGGATATGGGGATCATTGATCCAGGGGGAACAGTTCAAAACCAAGAGGAGAACAAGGGCAAAGATGTGACAAGTATAGGACATGAGGTAGACAGAGACAGTAAGAGGAAAAATAAGGAGCTAACAGGAACCTCTATCAAATCTGTTACAGCAGTAGCTCAGGTGGATAAATGTCAAGGTGATCATGCACTAGCTACTAACACACAGGCTGCTCATATTGTAGTCACAGATAAAGAAAGAAAGATAGGTGCACAAGAGGGAGATACAGGTTTTGATATGGATGAGGAATCCACTGCACAAAATTTTTTAAATATAGCTAGGCAAGGGGATTTATCTCCTAGACAAATAGAGCAAGTCAAATCTGCAGCCAAGGGTAGAAGGAAGCAACCCAAGGAGACATCAACTGTCCAGACTGGAGGTGTACAAACAAGGAGAACTTTGTCCAAAACTCAAAATCATTAATGGATGCAATTATTTGGAATGTGAGGTCTGTTAACACTAAGCAG